TGATTGCAGAAATGCTTCAGGCTCCGAAATTTCCTGAATATTTTGAGGCATGAACGTATCCTGCTGCAAATCAAGCAGGTTCAATCTATTACCTGCGAGCGAGGGCTGAGCGTGTTCTGCACTTTGGCATCAGGCAACATCTACAAGAATCCACCGACCCGGGCATGGTGGGGAGAGAGCCAGCGGCTTTGACTCGACTCTCAGCAGCCAGCCACAACCTGCACAAATGCTTTCGGCATACTGCTGAGCTATGCAGCAGCTATACCCCCCTTAGAACCATAATAAGAAAATATGTTTAACATTCTCTTGGGTTTTATATGAACAAAAATACAAATAATTCCTAAGGAGACTGTAGTCAGCAACAGGCCTTATACTAAGGGCAGGGATGCCAGGGCCTGCGGAGGCCCCTTGGGCAGGTCTCCATGGAGCTTGCAGTGGCTTTTGCTGTGCCTCACGGGGCAGCTTGTCAGTGCCAAGAACAAGAGCCCTAGCTCAATTTTCAAATCGAACTTGAACTACACACTCACTCGCCCCCACCCCTCAGCTCTCAAGGTCAAGGTATGCGTTCTGGTATGGCACTCCGATGACAGATGGGTCCTGCAGGATCGACTTAGCAAGGCGACTCAGTTGTAAGGCCGGCACCCTTTCTCCCCACAAAGATAGCAGCGCCCCTCGCAGCTCGCGTCTCTGGGTCCCTTCTTTTGGCTGTGGAGAGTAGTGGCCCAACACGCTCCGTGCCGACTGACCAAGCGCAGGTTTGTTGCTTCTCAGTTACTCCATTTTCAACCAGACCGTAACTCAACAAAACTTCGGCCAGGCTCTCTACTTCCAGTAACTGCTGTGGCTACACACATCCGAACACAGCTCGCAGAACTCGCCGAATTTCCGCTACGCCTTGAACCGTCCCATGTGGCCCTTGGGCTCTGGGGCCGAAAGGCCCGTGACTTCCATGGTACCTGGCTGAGCCGAGTGCTGCATGGGGCTTCCGTTTGGGACCTTGGAGGGTCCGGGCGGCTCCGCTCCACCCCTATAGAGTAAAGCCCCAAGCGCTGAACATTCCCGTCACTCTGAGGGCTCCTCCCTTCACAGCCTCTGCCCATGTACGTGAAGTCTCGTGGATTTGCGCGGTAAAATGCACTTCGGTGCCGTCGGACAGCACACGCTCCCTTCTAACTGCATTATGTCGGATATGCTGAAGCTGTGCTATCCGCTCAATGCTGGTCCAGCCAGGCACGGCAGCTGCATCGATATCCCTGTGTTCTGATCGAAAAATGCTCCACCTGCGAACTGCGGCACCAGTTTGTTCCTCGGTCCTCAGAGCTGCCATCTTAGATTGGAGAGCTCAAACATGCAAGCAGTACGTTGCGCGGCAACTGCAGTAAATGTCGCCGTTGTTGTGGCTTCCTTAGTTTCGGAATTTCTATAGAACGCGAAGCACCGTCAGCCCTCAGCATCTTTGAGAATCAGCAGCTTTGAGAAGCACTCACATACTGTAGTCTCAGACATGTCTGCTTTATTCTGGTTTCATGCCACAGGTCCACCCCAGCTTCAGGGCGTAGGCTTTCTTAGCCTTGGACGCAGGGCCTTTCGAAGCTCCAGACTTTCATGCATCAGCCCAGGCTTTTTCTGCCGGAAGCTCCGGGCCGCAGACTTTGGAGCGTCTCAGGATCTTCCCGGACTCTCAAGCCCAGCTCGGCAAATCTGAATCTCTGAGCCTTTCAAGTGAGAACGGCGGAATTGGCAGGCACTTCAGTCCGCAACATCGTCTGGTGTGTTGAAGGCCACGGGCACCTTCCCAGGCAGCCGACTTTCTCATTGCTGAAAATGGGGAACGGAAGGGCAGCGTCTATGATCCGTTTCGACCGTTTTGCTGCTAGCCCTCGACAAAGACGAGCCTGACGACAGATTCCGGATTCAACGTCAACTTCACGCAATCGTCGCTTCCGTGGCACCTGGTGTCCATTCGCTTGCGGTCCTTCCAGCGGCTCATTGAAAGCAGCCACCACCTTTTCCGTCAGTCAGCCAAGACAGTCAAAGACGCTGACGAGGACAAGCTCAAAGTGAGATGAACAATCGACGCGAAGTCGCAGAGTTGCACAGATGGCAGCTAAAATTTGAGAGCAACACTTAGATGAACTGCGGACTTACGCTCAGAGGCCTGCGACCGCCAGAGGAAGCATCCATCTCGTTCTACATGCCTGTCCTTTCGGCGACAGTGGGTTCGGTTAAGTGATGTGACGAAATAAGGTGGCAAGACCTTGCCGGCATCAAGCACAAATCAGCAAAGGCTCGTATGCGTGGCTGGGCATGCCAGCAGGCAGTGAGGACGCTGCAGTTTCTGCAGTGGCCTGGCGCCAGCGTTCAGAACACGAAACACAACAGTCGCCGCTGGCTAGTGTTTGGCTGACTCTGTCACTCTGCTTCTGGGGGGAAGGGCTTCGGCGGTTTGGCCTTGCCAGTGTCGCTCATGCTACAAGTAGCTTGAAAACCGGTGTTGTCTGTCCTTCTCCAACTATGCTCTCATAGCATCGGTCGAGTCAATCTGAGAAGGTGAAGCAAGTGTTCGCACATCCGCCTCACTGCCTCTTGATTCAAACACAATCTCTGCTACTGTGCGAAGACAAAGCCCCCCAACACCAGACGAGTCGAGGAGCCTGACTTGATCGTGTCGCAGCACTGCAAGCACTGGCACTCGCATGACCTCAGAGACGAAGCGAGCTGAGAGCTGCAGACGAGGCATTTCCGAAACCCGGTGACTGGTCTTTTGGGAGCTTCCGAAGATTAGGGGTACCTTCGTACAGGCACCTTCCCCCCCTTCCTCCCTGCTGGTTTCTCCCTGCCCCTCCCTGCCCTTGGTGGGCCTGGTCCCCCCTGCCCCCCTCCCGGGTCGGCCCTACCTCCCCTTCCAAGCGTTCTTCCTTCCGTTTCCTGCTTTTTCCACCCCGTGCTTTCCCCCTTCCTTCCCCTTTCTCCCCCTCCTTCTGCCCCACTTCCTTCTTCTCTTTCTCCATCTTTTGCCACTTTTCCATGTTCCCGCTGCTTTCCATCTCCCACCCTTCCTTCCTGTACTTTGCTCGCGTGTTTTTTCTATTGCTTACTTCCCGGCCCACTTCTCTTGACTTGTTTTTTTTCTACCCTGTCCTTTCTTCTTCCAAGCGTTCCTTCTTCCTTCCCCCACGTTCTTGCCTGTTTCTTCTTTTTCCACCTTTCCGCTGCTTTCCGGCCCCAAGCTCCCTCCTTCCTTTTGCTCGCTTTCCTTCTGCCCCACTTCCCTCTTTTCTTTGTCCATCTTTTACCACTTTTCCATCTTCCCCCGCTACTTTTCCATCTTCCCGCCTGTTCCATCTTCCCGCTGCTTTCGCTCGCGTGTTTTTTCCATGAGGCTCTTCTCCTTCGGTTCTCCTTTCCCCTTCCTGCCCTGTTCTCACTTTTGCCCCCCGCGTCCTTCTGCCCTTTCCGTCCTTCCTTCCTGTGCTTCGTTACTTTCTGCTCCTGCTTCTGCCAGCCTTCCGAGCCCTGTTCGAGTACAGCACATGCTGCCAGTCGCTGTGCCTGCTGCTGCTGCTGCTGCTTGCGGTGCGCCGCTGCTGGCACTACTGGAGCCGCCAGCCGAGGCGGGCCGCGTAGCGTTAGAATTAGGACCTACTAACTATTTAAGGTACTATATTAGGGTCCCCTATTTTCGGAAACTCCCTTTGCGATTCCGAAACAACTCCGCAGATGCACACTCGGGAGCCGGCTGTCGCGAGGCTTCCGTGACAGGAGCCGCTTCCATTCCTTTTCCTGCTGCCGTCGTCTCGTCAAGGGAACCTTCGACGAGAAAGCAAGAAGTGGGCTCCTCAAGACCTACAAATCCTAGGAATTGAGCCTCATCCCAGGGCTGCCATGCCGGCCGCGGCTTGATCCGCATGGCCTGGCGCCGCGTGGCCTGCCAGACCTTCGCAGCCTCGGAGGCTCCGCGCGACCTCGAAGCTCCGAAAAAAAAAAGGGCTTGGCACCAGAACTGCAAGATGCCGAGCTGCCCGCATCAACTTCCCTGTGCAAGTACTGCCCCTGAGGTGAAAAGGGCTTGGGCTGAATCGCTGCCGGAAGACTCGGAGACCAGCGGGGCCACGTCTGGCAGCTCAAACAGGTCCTTTATGCCACCTGCCCGACAAGCGTCACTCAAGCAGACTGACTTAACATAGGCGGACAATGGCGGACACACACACACACACAAACAGACAGAGACACGCACACACACACACACCTTGCACACTGCAAGACAATGCATACACCTCCTCACAAGCCGGCACATTATGCAACATTACATGAGATTATGTTGCCTAATATACTGTGCACATGTGTGTCGCGGTATTCCTCCCCAGACATACATCTTACCGTGACAACGGGCTGGCGCTGCTCACATACACAGCATATACACGCAGTCTCGTTGCTTCCGTTTGGTGTCCTGTGCTGCTGTTGGCAGCAACTCCAGGTTTTACTTGCAGCTTCTCATGGTCTACGGGCCTACGGGGAGAAGATGCCAGGCTCTCGAAACTTGTCAACCTTCGGGGCCCGGGGCCGTGTAGGCCGCCTGCAGCTGCCTCCTTTTGCGTCTCCGAAGTCAATCTCGGAAAACCTCAAGGCGGCCGCTGCAGTCGATGACGGCAAGCAGCCCCGGCGCCATGGCAGCGGAGGCCTGGAAAGCCGCCCCGACCAGGTGTTCCTTGACCTCCTTTGGGGAGATCTTGCCATCCCCGTTTTCGTCTCTTACGGCATAAATCTTCCCATCTTGATACGCAAGGAGAGCGGTGCCTGCTCCGTCAATGACGGGCTGTGCATTGGCATCAGGGAGGCACCATGGCTCGTTGTTGGGGTTAGTTCCATTCATTTTGCTCTGCAAGCGCTCCAGAAACAACTCAGAATCGCCCATCGCGGCAGGGCGCTGGTAGGGCTCCATTTCATGGTACCAGATGACATTGCCCGTAGCTGCATCCAAGGCCACGATCGAACGACCCTGCTTCTTTGCGAAGAGAGACGGGAAAGAAAGGCTCAGCCAGTGCAACGGCAGCAGAAACATTGTGGCCGCCTTAAGACCTTCGACTTCAGCGTTATAAACAACATTTGCGATTTACTTGTGATGCCTTGGTAAAAACAACATGTGCTAATCCGGTGAAACCACCTGAACAAAGCCAAGACACCGAAAACAGGGGCCAACACCATACCCCACTTCACGAGCACGGGCAGCCCCGGGTTCGTACCCATACCGAGAATCAGAGAAGCCCTGCCCTTGCTGCTTCCGACCAGATCGCCTACTGCAACAGCTTGGTTGCCTTCGTAGGGGAGATCCTGCGACCAAAGAAATGAGCCGTCATCGTAGCCATAAACATGAAGAAGCCCTTTGCCCTCCGTCCCCTGCAGCTGAGGCCCGCCACCAAGGTTGCTCACAGCGAAAACGCGACCATCGTGGATCACAGCTGCTGCGGTTGTGGCAGATGCTCTGTCAGGCGTCGCAGAGTGCCAAATCAGGCGGCCCTCCGTAGACACCCGATAGACGCCACCTGTGACATCCTGAAACACAAAGGTCCCATCATGTACCGTGGACGCCTGGAAGTTGTATGTTGATTGCCTCGGGGCGAAGCTCCAACGAAAAGATCCATCATCCAGACTCAATCCCAGAAGGCGATTGTTCTCTGCGACATATTCCGCCATCGGATCGGTCAGAAGCTTCAAAGGCTCTGGGTCCATCACCGCAACGACTAGAATCCCCTGGGTCAGGAGCGCACAGTCGCTGGATGTGGCCACTCGTGCTACTATCTGCTTCTCCCATCTTTCTACCCCGGTGTCCAGGTCCAGTGCAATAAGATGGCCGTGCTTCGTCAGCATTAGCATTACCGAGTCCCACAAGGCGGGCACTCCTGGAACAGTCCCGCGGCTACCTGTGTAGTGACTCCAGAGAGGCTTGCCATCCGCGCTGAGCTTGTAGGTTCTGCCCGCGATCGTCGTTACATAAATGTTCTTCTGATCGTCAATGAGCGGAGTGGCCCGAACAAGGTCGCCATGCGGTGCCTCTTGCGTCCAGGCAGGGCCTTTGGTGATGTCGGGCATGGCATACGGCGAGTAGCCCGTTCGACCCGGGGTGCCCTTCTGATAAGGCCACCAGTGTTGCCGGCCCGAGCCTCCCGAGCCCGAGCCCGAGCTCGCTAAACCCTCTTTGGGCTTACAGCTGCCCACAGCACAAGTCTCCCCCGCTTCCGCAGTGGCCGGAGTGGCCGCAGCGTGCCAGGCCTGGTGGCCCGCCAGGCACGCTCCCAGAAGCCGCCACGTGGCAAGCATGGCAGGCGTGTCAGGAGCCTCGAAGCCGCTTGGAGCCCCGAGGCTCAATCTCTTGCTACTCTGCTGAAGCCGAGAACCGTTTATCATCTTGATTTGATGTTGTAAGATTAATGGGGAAGCGCCGAGAAACTACAAAAACCATGACGGCCTTCGTAGCATCCCGGCTCACACCGGCGTCGCGCACCAGCAGGGGGGCGAGCCTGACAGGGACCGGTGACCGGAGAGAATGGGAAAGCCACCAGCCCTTCAGGCTCGGATAGGCTCGGGGTTCTCGGAGCCTCGGAATGCGGAGCTCTCTCCCGGTGGATGTCGGCATCAAGCAAGCTTTCTTAACAGCGTGATGCCTCGTCCACGTTTGTGGTGCGACCAGCCACCATGCGGACCACGTTGCTTGACCCACGCATTCTCCAAGTCTTACGACGAGTGGGTTAAACAATTGGGAGGTGAACCTGTACGGCTAGCATGATCATGACGACTCCTGAACAGGAATTGCGTTTGCGCGGTTTTGAGCACCACACACACACCAGCAGCTGAGACATCATGCAGCCCCCCCTTCATTCCCGGCGTGATATAGAAAATCTGCGCAGAGACTGCAACCATTCCAACTAGCCTCTACCTGCATGGCATCCCGTACCCCTACCAACGCGTATACGCGTGATAAGACATCCTACACTTTCGTTCCCAGCTTCCTCAAAGAAAGTCCCGCACTCCGCGCAGCTGCCCAGCAAAGAGCATGGGCCTCGGTCTTTTCAAACGAATTCAGTCAATCGCTTCACAGCTTTGGACTTGGGAGGTGCGCTGCCGGTCCTCACGAGCTGAGCTGTTCAAATTTGCGGGCCTCTGGTACACCTCCGGGCCAGTACAGCGTACGCATGTGAAAGCCGCGAGAGCTCATTTCATCCGAATCCCGGTCATCTCTGATCTTTGATGATCTTTGCAAAATGGGATCCTGTCTGCTTTTGATGGTGCGCATAAGGCAAGACGTCGCTCTAAGTCTCCCGCTCGCCGGTGGCATCGCCCTCTGCTTTCAGCTTCCGCCCGGAGAGGTGGTACCTCCGCTCTGAAGACTTGCAGCTGCGAAGCAGCCGGGAACCATATTCTGTCTCCCCAGAGAGCTCGCTCTTGCAGGGTGCACGACTTCAACGCCTACGTCCCAGAAGAAGGTGCCATAACAGAGGTGCTCCTGGCCATCAAATGCAGCACTGGCGACGACTGCAGGCAGCATGCCACAAGCCAGGGGCCCCAAAAAGAAGTTACCATCCCTGGTATTAACTTGGAAAGAGGTTCAAGCATTCTGCAAGATCTACCACTACCACTACCACCTCTGCCACTGCCACTTCTACTACTTCTGCTAAATCTACTGCTGCTACTCCCATCATCGTGCTTGCTGTTCTGCCGCCTTTTCCAGGTCGTCTGCCTTGAGGAGTCGTGGCCACATCTGATCCACGCCAAACCTCGATGGAAAAGCCCTCCCTACCGCTGCCCCTATGACAATACTATAGCACTATGGTACTAGAATACTCTCATACTATAGTACCAGAGTATTATAGTACTATAATGTAGGAACCTGATTAAGAAACCCTGGGCCTATAACCCCAAAATAGTAGGCTTCATACAAGGAACCCTAATAAAGGCCCAAGGTTTCTTAATCAGGTTCCTAATTACAATAGTCCCTTTCAAAAGAAAAACCTCCTAAAACGTGGGAAAACGCCCCGAGAGCCAGGCCTTCGCTCGGGATTTTGGCAAACGTCCATCCGGGCCGCCGGGAGGACGACCTCTGGGATGCCCCAGAGCTTGAAAAAATACTATATATATATATATAATAAAGTACAAGTATAATATACTTTTAAATGTAAATATATATATATATATATACACAATATACATATATATATATACAGCATTAATTATAAAATAGGTATTAAAATAGAATAAGTATATTATACATTAAATACATAGTCTATTGGACCAGAAAGTCTCATGACCTACAGCAACAGCACTGCTTAAGAAATCATTGGTTTTAAGAAGTTGAGCCCCTCGGACAGCGGTGCGACCAAAAAAAATATGTGTATATATATATATATATATATTATGCAGAACATGCGCGAATTTGAGAAATGCTTGGTACCCTGGACTCTGTGTGCCAATGTCTTGTTTTGCTCTTTCTCATTTTGTGTTCGCTGGTTCTGTTCGCGCAAAAGGAAACCTAGAAACTCAGGGAGTAGATTTCGTATTCCAAAAGCTCGGCGCAAAGCCCCTATAAAGCTTCGAGAGCCAAAGCTGTCAGTAAGCCCACAATCGGCAAGCACAGAACCCCCGAAAACAAGAAATCGAGCCCCTCAGTTTCTTATTTTGGCTGTTTGTCTACATGGCAAAGCTTAAACTCAGACCCTATGAAGCCCTGACAAGGCCTCGATTTCGTATTTTGGGGGGTTCTGGGCTTGCCGAAGAAGGGCTTAATACGAGCTTAGTACCAGCTTTGGAAGGCTTTAGAGGCTCCGTAAGGGCTTAATAAGGGCTGAAAATATACAAGCTTTGCCATATAGGAAAAACTACCGAAAATGAGAAATTAAGGGGCTTGGTTTCTTAAATTTAAGAAATTGGGGGGCTCGATGTCTTGTTTTGGTGGGTTCTGGGCTTGCATAACAAGGGCTCCAAAGACCGTAATAACAGCTTTGGAGGGCTCTAGAGGCTTTGCAAGGGCTTAATAAGGGCTTAAATAGGGCTTTGCCATATAAGCAAAGACCACAGAAATAAGAGATTAAAGGACCGGATAACCCCACATGTGAAGCTTGTGTATTGGTAGACAGTCTAAAGACGCAAAAGAGTGAATGAGTGTGGGAGTAAATGGATGAGTGAGTGAAAGAATAAGTGGGTGCTGTTGTGACCACGTGTGTGTGTATGTGTAGACGCGACAGAGCTGAGATCGGGTCTAGTGACCGCCGCTGGCTGAGATCGGTTCTAGTGACCGCCGCTGGCACGTCGTTCTGCGCTGCACTTCTGGAGTGTGTGTGTGTGTGTGTGTGTGTGTGTGTGTGTGTGTGTGTGTGTGTGTGTGTGTGTGTGTGTGTGTGTGTGTGTGTGTGTGTGTGTGTGTGTGTGTGTGTGTGTGTGTGTGTGTGTGTGTGTGTGTGGTGGTGTGTGTGTGTGTGTGTGTGTGTGTGTGTGTGTGTGTGTGTGTGTGTGTGTGTGTGTGTGTGTGTGTGTGTGTGTGTGTGTGTGTGTGTGTGTGTGTGTGTGTGTGTGTGTGTGTGTGTGTGTGTGTGTGTGTGTGTCTGTGTCTGTGTCTGTGTCTGTGTCTGTGTCTGTGTCTGTGTATGTGTCTGTGTCTGTGTCTGTGTCTGTGTCTGTGTCTGTGTCTGTGTCTGTGTCTGTGTCTGTGTCTGTGTGTGTGTGTGTGTGCATGTGTGTGTGTGTGTGTGCGTGTGTGTGTGTGTATGTGTGTGTGTACGTGTGCGGCAGAGCTGAGGCTGCTTCTGTGATGGGCAACTGCGCGCAACTCGGCTCTGCAGCACTTCAGAGGTGTATGTTTGCCTGTGTGTGTGTGTGTCTGTGTGTGTATGTGTGTGTGCGTGTGTGTTTGTGTGTTTGTGTGTCGTTGCCTGCCTGTGGTCACACACACCCCACACATTGATGTGGGGAATTAAGGGGCTCGATTTCTTAAGTTTAAGAAATTGAAGGGCCTCGATTTCCCATTTGGGGGGGGTTCTGGTAAGGGCTGAATACAAGCTGGGATAAAAAAATAGATGGATTTGATGGCTTTCAAGAAGTCGAAAGGATTCCATGCCCGAGTGGATAAGCGCATGAGCTGAAGTGGGACAGGCTATGGGCTCAAATCTTCCTGTACTCTCATTTCTTGTATTTGTTTTTCTTTGTTGCCGTTTCAAAATTTGGCTTAAGAAACCCAGGGTGCCCTCAACCCTCAAATCCCGAAACGTTTTGTAATAAAGGCGCGCTTCAAAATTAAGAAATCGAGCCCCCCCCCCCTCACGGAAAATTAACTGTTTCGTAACCGGCACTGTCGCTGTACTTCACCGAAGGTACTTCGAATGCGACAGCAGGTGCCTGCCGGTAGTGCTCCGTCCGGCAGACGTGGGGCTTGTCATACCTAAGCTTCCGGCTCTCCTCATGCGCTGGATCTAGACATTGCAGAAGGAAGACACATAAGCAGCTGGAACGTCGAAGAGCTGGGGTCTGGGAATCTTTGGCGCAGTAAGATCGCCACCAGAGTAGCTGCGGCACCAAGCAGACACCGGCAACATTTCGCGCAGGTGGCAGCTCTAAGCCGTACCTGGAGCTCAGCTGGTGAAGCGAAGCGCCGCGCGGTGCAACCAACGCAGGATCATGATCATTATGCAGAGTCAATGCACCGCGGTTGGGGTTTGGAAAGTTTAGGATAGTGCTACTTGTACAAGGAAAAGTCTTCATGTTGAGAAGGACACTCCTCTCTTCTTCACCAAGTCTGAATCCTGATTGATCCTCGCGTAGCACCAGCAGGGGACTAAGTTTCGGGGCCGAGCTGCAAGAAAACCGCAGAGTTAGTTCCGGTACGTCTGTGATCTTTTGGGGAAAGGTCGAGCTGATCCGCCACCAATCAAACCCCCCCCCAAAAAAAAAAAAAAACGATGCATAACACATCTAATGGCACCTCAGCTGCATTCGCCGGGCCTTGGCGTGTAGACACCGAAACTTCGGGGTTCGAATATATGCAGGCAACAAACATACTCACTGTGGATGTGTCTGAGGACAGCCGGCGGCTATGGTCAGCACAGGCCAGTTCGGCAACACTCAGAGTGCCCACCAATCGTTCCAGGGCCCCGGCATACCCCAGAGTCGTCAAGGACTGCATGCCAACGTATTTGATGTCTGAGTCCGCATCCATGGCGGCGACCTGAGTCAGGACTGATGAACAAGTATTTAAATGCAACCAAAAAATTGCATGCGACTGCTTCAGGACAAACGCTGCAGGCCCCCTGACAACTCTATAGTTCGATGGGCGCTGGACCCTGGCATCACGGGTGCCGAACGGCTCGAGCAATCTCGACCTCCCGGACAAAGATCCAGTCGTGTTGTACCTGCACGCTACTTCAAGTTAGCAGCCTCTGGGACCTGGGAAGTGCGATCTCTGGCCAGTGGCAATCAAATGAGCAAACCAAGCCCTGAAGTGGCTTGTAACTTCGGACTTTCAAAGTACAACAAGCGTACGATCATCAGACTCCTCTACTGCATGATTCAGAAACCGCACTCCGACGCCCCTTGCGACTCTGCTCAGACCCCAGACTCCAAGCGCACCACGAGCACGTACTCAGTCGACACTTCCTTCAGAGCAGCGGTCAGCGCAAGGCCGTACCTCGAGAGGAGTGCTCGCCACTTAGGTTTACGGTTCAGGGCTAAGGCGGCTAAACGGGCTCGCGGTGACACCCGTTCTTCAGCTGCACATTACTTAGAGAATTGCGCAGCGGAGGAGTGCAGCTCAATCTGCAGATGACCGCGTGGGCATGACTACCTGCTGTCTGATTCATCAAGATCCACACAGCTTCTGATCTTGGCGTCGTACAGCATCGTACAGCCGAAGCATTGCAACTCATTCTCGGCTGGTAAGGATACACATGCAAGCCCTGGACGTGTCATGCTCTGGGCAACAGTATATAAGAAGTTGGCAGAAAGCCCAACCCCCAAACTCTGGACGGCGCACCCGCGGCAGCTCCCAAGCCTGCACCCATTTGTGATAGTGTCGCTGCTGCCACCACAACACTTAACTCTACATCTTACATTACTGATCCTGGAAATGCTGCTTGCAGTAGTATAGTCATCGTCGCTGCTGCAGCAGTAAAGATGATGTTATTCACACACACACACAGACACACTTGACGCAGACCAACGTCGCATAGCCCGACGTTCAACCGACGAGCAGACGACGGAGAAGAGCAGTCCGCATATCCTAGCAGAAACAGATCAGAAACAGGCTGACAGGGGCCCAGGGGCTGTTGTGACAGCATCAGCAAAAACTGTTCGTAGCCGGACCTCAGTATCCTGCACGGCCCCAGCTCGCCCTGCAGGCAGAGCTCCTGGCAACGCGAGACACTCGGGAAAGTCAGTGAACACAATCGTTCGATGGCCTCCAATATGGCACAATATACCCAAGTCGGCAAAAGTCGCACCGTCCTCGGCAGCAGCCAGAAAGCCCTCGTAGGCCTGAAGCAGAAGCCGACGCAGGACTTGTACAACAGTTTGAGCGCGCGCACACACACACACGCATACACGCACGCACGACATCTGCTACTGCGAGGAGTGTGCTTGCATCATTTTCAGCCAGACCATCAAACACGACAAAGCCCCCAAACTCACTCTGCACGATGGTAAGAACGGTGGTGCATCATCGCCTCTTCCGAGCACAGCTGCTTCCTTCCCTCCGGGGGTGTGAACCCGTCGCAGACCTCGAAGAAGTTGCAAGTGGGCATACCGTGTAAGTATCCTCGCAAGTCAAGATCAGGAGCCGGCCAACAGTCTGGGGCACTGCTCCAAGTGAACCAGATGCTTTTGGAAGGAAGAGAACAGAGTCCTCCAAAGGCTAAGGCCGCAGCAGCTAAGCACAATGTCGCTTCTCTGGTGTCCGACATGAATGACTTTTTTTGATCGGGTCTGCCGGTCACGTGCGCGCAACATGAGAGCTGTGCACTGTCTCTATCCTCCGTCCATGCGGCATCGAACTTGCCCAATCTCGAACCGGCACAAGCATCCCCAGCGCCATCGTCCTCAACAGCACCGGCGAGGGGTGAGACGGAATCGGAGAGGTCGTCACCAAGATGGTGAGGCGATCGCTCGGCGCTGCACCTGTCATTTTCAAACTCGCTTTGCTTCGAAGGCTCCGACGGCTCAAGCCCCAGACCCGAGAAAGCCCACACCCAGGCCGTTCCCCCGCAGACGCGGACAAACTGCCGAGTCACTACTCGTGGCAGTTGCAGCTCCCCAAAAGGCACAAAAGGGCGGCACAGCGGGGCCCAGAGTTTTTGGTTCACCAAAGCGACCTCAGAGTTTCGCGCAGGGCTCTCGGAGCTCCCGCACTCGCCAGCGGCTTAGGCTGGCGCCAACTCAACGTCCAACAGACCCACTGAGCGACCACCATCCACCACTTCGCTGGCAACATCCGGCTGCTCTCTGAGTCTCCGGTGCCCAGGACCATCGTGACACCCTACATAATTCACTACTTCATTCTACTTATAAGCTACTGCGATAATCACAAAACGAAGCGAAATGCGAAGGCCGGGCACCGGGTCTAGAGATGGCCTTGAGGCACCTCCGGTGCCTTTCGTGGCCGAAGCGACTGAAGCGGAGGTCTTCACTCTCCCCGTCCTACTCACGACCAGCGCACCGAAAATGCGTCATGGGCCGGCGTCTGCAGCTATCTGCGAAAGTTACAGAAGCGGAAAGGATGAAAGTGTAAACAGTCATGGGAAGTTTGGGCAAAAGTACCGTCCTCACATCGAGTGACTGCTGGGCGCGAATTAACAGAGCTTGTGTTCCAGCGTGCACCTACGAGTATCAGTCATACTGAAGACGAATACTTCACGAATACTGGCAGAACATGCATGATATGTACTGACAGGTGGCAAGTATGAGGGGGGGTGCTCTCGGGGATATGTCGTTCGGATACTTGTTGTATAAATGCCGGCAAAGAGGCATCGTGTAAGGCCCAAGGATGTCACTCGATGTGGATCTGAAAGGGATGTTGATTCATCCTGACACTATACAGTTCCGGGCCAGAAGGCGTTGCGACCACAGCGCAAGACGCCGTTTGTTGGTCTTCAAACTTCACACCTGCGGCCAAGGGCTCTTTGGAGCGGAGGCCCTGGCTTGCATGCGGCACTGCTGCCCAGGGCACACGCGCAAACAATATGAGTTATGGCTTCTCTCTTTGTAGCTGTGCTGATGTTACTACCTGGGTTCGTCATGACCATGAACAGCATCGGAGTCCAGAGGCATGTACCCGAACAGCAACTCACATGTGGAGCAGGTTAACAACGATAGGACCATGATCCTGATCTCCTGAGTAATTCCCGAAGGCTGCGGCTGAAATAACTCTCCTTGCGGGTTCACTCCAGCAGCTCAGGTGCTGACACTGAGACTCAACTGTACGTCGCCCGAGCTGATATTGGTGGTCCATGAGGACGCTTTGTCAATATGTTCGATCTTTTTTTAGCTGGTTTTGCTTCGGTGCCGCACTTGCGCTTGTAAACTAGCTGTCTTCTAGAGTAGCCCAATCAATCGGCTCTTGTGTCCTTATTGGCCACCATACGCAAGGGCGAAGCGCCATCCATCGAAGTGTGCAGAGGGGACACGCAAGAGTCTGGCGCGCCCAAAACGATCGTAAAAATCATGAGGGTATTCTGGTCCAAGAGCCGCCGCATGGCGGCTGGTGCAGCCTTGAAAACTCTTGCTCACCCTCCACCTCGAACTTTCAAAGGATGGTCCGTCGGGTCAAGTGGCCTTGCAAAAATCGTTTAGACCGGTCTTACCCGCAGCCTGTGTTCTGCAATCTTGGCAGTGCCAGGAAGCCGCTAGCAGCTCCAGGAATGTCAAAGACAGGCGCATTCTCCAAACGCGCGAGCAACCACCAATACTACAAACCATAGCTGAAGGCTGGAACACTTACCGCATGAGTGGGCAAGGGTTCTCAGACCTGGTCAAGACACATGCACCAGGCAATGCCGAAGTTGCACCCTTGCAACCTCCTAACCGGAAGCAGCGAATACCAGGGGCCATGTAGAATGCATTCATAGGGATGTCCTCACAAAGCTGGCATTGCCATGAACGCAACCATTAAACCCTCCCAGAGATCGTATCTCCAGGGAGTTCTGTACAACTGCGAGTGTGGTCCGGGCTCGGACCACTTGCGAAACGTGCGTGGGCAGCACCTCAACCAACGCCACTTCTTTGCCAAGGGAATCACTGCAAACACCACAGACCAGGTGTGCAGTTTTAGCGATCCCCGCTTTTGTGGCAAGGCCTTGTAGAGACCTCTCAGTGGGCTATGCTAAGGTGAAAGCTCCACTATCACCAGAACAAGGAATGGAATTTGTCAGCCTCCGGCCGTAACAAGAAAAACACGTAGCTTTCAGAATTTATATGCTTTGCATCTTTTAACATCCTCTGCATTCGGCTCCGCCGAAGGCCTATTGCATTTTGTGCATGGATTTGATACTCTCACCTTCGGATTCCACCAACGCTTGGTGCTTTGTGATTCCATGGCGAGCCAGGCGCCTGCAGCACACGAGGAGGTGTAGTGCGTGCTCTAAGCACAGGCATCTCAAACCAGGTGCATCCAGGACACCTCACAAGTGGATGACCTTATTGACACCTGCGTTGCGGCTCCAGCGGCAAAGGTGGCAATTTGGGCACGAGGTGCCGTCCTTGCAGCCTGCCGACCAGCTTTTGTCGGGCTTACATATAGGCAGCTATTCGAAGTTTTTGGGTTTGGCACCGGGCATCTACAGCTACAGGACACAACTGCAACCACTGACTTTTTGAGATTCTGCACAGTGCTAGCTAAGCGCACAGGCTTGCAACTGCCTTCGCCTGCATGATGAATCCCCGTCTCCAGCCCAATGGCCTTTTGCTTTGCCGACGTACTTGCAGGCCTGGGCACAGCCTTGGACCAGGCAAGGCCCCCCGAGGTAGAGTCGCAGTCACTCCGCCAATTCAAGCCACAAGTTCACGCGCTGGCGACAGCACTAGATGGTTACTAAGTCAAGGGCACTTACAACATGGATGCAACATTGCGGGGGGCTCCTTAATAATATGATTTTCGTAGAAGATACCCAAAGAATCACGCCAAGCTGCTGTAGGGATGGCCCAAAGATCCCACGGAAGAAAGGAGGCCAGGTGCCCTGGGAGGCGCTGAATAGAGGGGCAAAAATAAAAACTGGAAGACGGTTTTGGGGTATATTCTAAATCATAATAAGGCAATAGTATTCGTAAATATGTAGGCCCCTATATTATATTACTCTACGGTTTAGGTTTCGGGGTTTATGTTTGCAGATCCTTACACAAACACGTGCGAAGTGTGCTATGTCCAGATATGTGTGTCTATAACTATATGTACAGGTGCACAGAACTATGCACAGCTAAAGGATGTTGGGAAGGAGCAAAGTTGGGAACGAGAAAACTTTCAAACAAGTAGTCAGTGACTAGGAGCTACTGAAGATACAGCAGGGACAAGCGCCGTGGCAAGGGCAACTACGATGACATTAACAAGACGGGGCCAGCAACGGTCAATGGGCAGCATGAAAAGCTACAACAATGATGAAACACTACGAAAACACGACCATCATCACCATCACGATCGTCCAACGGCTATGCCGTGTCCCCGCACAACCCAGTCAATGGGGTTTTGTCGGGACAAGCATATTGGAACAAGCCTGAAAGCAACCTCAAATGATGGAGTGTGACAAAGGGAAGCTACAGAACATTCCAAAGGCCCTTTCATTGGAATTGACACATTCTGGCGAAGAACTGCTTGCTGCCTCGTGCAATTTGCAGGCTGTCATGATGCAAAGTTGGGACGGTTTCAGACCTTCAGTTCCTCAAAAATCTGACGATTCGGCTGAGTTCAGCCGGGCTTCTGGAGCTCTGTGTCAGGCAAGGCGGAAGGCAGCTCGAGCCCCGGTGGAGGAGGAATGCTTTCGAGGAGTGCCACGGCAGTGCCTTGCGAAGTCTTCGAGGTCTGGGTCGATTCCTGGTCCTCCTCCTCCTCCTCTTCCTCATCCTTGGGGCGGCGCTGCCACTTGCAATAGTGGCAGTTGGGGCAGTTCGCACCATCTCGGCAGCCTCGCTTTCGCCAGACGTACTTGCAGGCTTTGGCGCAGGTGTAGGGATGTCCCACGGAGCCACAGGAGAAGGGCTGAGTCTCCTGTGCGGGCCTTAGATCTTTCTGAGATCCCAACTCCGAAGAGGGCTTCCGGCTTCTGGCTTCCGGTATTGCCTTCCAGGCGGCACTGTCTCCACGCTTTCAACCGGCTTCGGCTCCTCCTTCTCGCCTCCTGAACGCAGCACACGTCCAAATGCCATTGAAGGCAGAGCTGCAGACAACTTTCTGACAAGCATCTTGTAACTTATGTAACTCCGCAGCTGCTGACTGCCAATCTCCGGCCGTGCCCCCTCTTCCCCAAGCCCTAGGGTCCTGCAGGCACACGGCTCCAAAAGCATTCGTGGCACTTGGTGCACTGGGACCCATCGCGGCAGCCGCCTCCAGGCGACTCTGACTCTCTTGGAGACGCCTGGTCTTTACGACAAGCTGGCACCAGCGCCTTTGCGCTTCACGTACTTGCAGGCTTCGGCACAGGTGAAGGGATGGCCCACCTAGCAAGGAAGAAAAAGCGGCGATGCTAAGGGATCCATAGTAGGGTTCTATAAAACAGGGCCCCTAATAATTAGTTTTGCTCCACAGGTGCCACTCGTTTGAGCCAAGACTCAGAGCCGATGGACACGATGTGTCCCGAAGAGCCCGTGGGGGTAGCTGCCGGCGCTTTGGACTCCTAGCGCCGAAATGTTGGATGTAACCGCCACCGAGTCTCACAGCCTCACAGCAACCCCAAACCGGCACTGAGCCAACGAATCCTGAGCATTTAAACGCGGCAAAACCGTGCCAAACCACCAAAGGTCGTGCGTTTAACCAAGCCTCACATGCTCCAAAAGCAAAATCGTAGAATTTGCAGGCTCAGGCTGGGAGCCTGGAGTCTTGCTTGTTGAGGCTTGGGGATAGGTGTGGACATACGGTTTAGGGCCTTCAGGGTTTAGGGTTTAGGGTTGAAGGTTGTACAAGGCCAAATCCTTCTGCTTCCTCAGTCCTTCTGGGGCCTTGGCACTGCATGAGGCGCTGGAGGTGGCGGAAGGCCTGCTGCTTAGCGATTGCACAAACAGCCTATCATCCAGTAAGGACTTCATACTCAAGACCCGTGGTCTGCCGTCACTAGCCCAACAGAAAAGAATCACCAATATGTAACTTGATCTGGCGAAACTGCTATCTTGGAGCCTGAGCTCCCGTGAGTGAAACATGACCCACCACGGCCTGCATCGCCCTGGGCAGGTGGAACCTGGCATGGTGAGAGCCACAGGGAGACGAACAAAAAAACTACTTCCTTCGGCTTCAACTCCCCGACGACTCTGGCACAGAAGCCTCAGAACACATCCCTCCCGCCTGGAGTTCCACAAGGCCCGGTGGAAGCTGGATCACTCCTCCAACAGAGAAAGGGTTTTGGGATGCCCTCCAAGCATTGGACGACGGAATCGCGCGTGCCGGTAGAAAATGCTGCGGCAGTGCAAGACAACTGCCACTCGTCACTCAAGCTCGGATGTTGGCAAAGCCGCAGAGGGTGCGCAGCTCTGCACTGGACAGAAGGAAACATCAAACGAAACCCACCTGAGAGGATGAATCGGGATTCGCTATGACCCTGCTGCGGGATGCTGCGGGCATATGCATCAACGGATCCCGGCTCCTGACTCAAACATTGGTGCGAACATCGGCGGCTCCTCCACCTGCTCCGAGCATGCACATGTTGGCCCTGAAACCACTAATCCGAGGCGTGCCCGCGAGGGGAGCGGGAGAGGGAGGCAAAGCGGTAGGTAGAGAGAGGGAGAGAGGGAGGGAGAGAGAGAGAGAGAGAGAGAGAGCGAGAGAGAGAGAGAGAGAGAGAGAGATATCAAAGGGCTGGGGAGCAAGCACAGACTGCCCCGGCGAGGTTATCTGACAGCATGTGAGCGTCAATTTGACGCTTCTCCGTCCAAAGAGCCTATAATGGTACCATATGTAACAAAGCTTGCCTTTAGATAAAGACTTGGTCCTGGTAGTGGTCATCTTCTGAACCTGGCACTACCTTCGCGGCGAATTTCTTGAAGACGGGTGGTGCACTCGCCCAAACCCGTCAGGACCGCTTGCTGCGAAGAAGCCGAACTCGAGAAACAAAGCCTAATGGCCTAATGGTCCCAGGCATTAACTTATTCAGCACATGCGGTTGAGATCGCCGGCAGCGTGGCTTTTGAGTGCCCAGCTCCTGCCTGAGCATAGGAGAACGGTGTCTTGATGGGCACGTACAGCGGTGATGCCGCCAACTGAGCCACGGTGCACTGCAAATAAGGCTGGCCCAGGGTCCCCTGCGCATCCTGTCACCCCGATCCTTCAGCGAGCAGAAGAGATCATAAACAGCTGGAAACCACGAGCCTTGTCCTCATTCACTTTGCCCTGCAGCTTGTTGCCCTCGGCCTCCGGACGGAGAAGACTCCAAGCACTGCTTGTTGAACAGGGCTATGACTAAGACGAACAAACCGGCACAACTCAACCCCTGTGCAGGGACTCCGGCACATGTAAGCCAGAACGACAAAGACGGCTATGCGCATCACAATCCTCCACCGACAAGAGCAACCTTGACCTAAGCCGTGGGAGTCCGTTGGAGCCTGTGATGATTTGCTTGATTTGTGTACTCATTTGCATCTCCGGATATCTGAAAAAGAAAATCAAGAGTACACCTGCTAGTAATAGTAACATCATCGGTCTTAAGACCAGCTGGGAGAATCTGAGCTGAAGTACGATGGGCCTGCAGCTGCATGAGCTTCTCGCGGAGGTGACCCATGTCCGCAAAGAGGGCGTGGTCGGTTGGGGTCTTGGAACCTGGGCACTCAAACTCAAGGCCGAAATCTGCCCAAAGGAACCTCAACATGATACATTGTGGAATAATCCATATAATATATAGTTTGGCAGAAAAATTCTAGTGCAGTTCCGTTTAGTATAAAAAACACGTTAGCCTGACTTTAAGACCTGCCGTGGAGCCGTCGGTCTGAGTCATGTCGAAGGCATATGGGTACAAGCCGTCGAGCATTGCTGGCGGGGTTGGTGTCCGGCATCCGGAAGGCAGGGTGTACCTGAACTGCCGCTCCGACGCGAGCCGATGGGAGCTTCCGAGAATTCGGGACCATAGGGACCTCTACCCTACCTTAGTGTACTGGGCGGGTAGAAGGGTCCCGGAGACAAAGAGCCCCATGTCCCATCGTTTCTGTTCTGTTCGGGCAGCTTAGACATCAGGCCAGGGCACTGGACCCCCCCTTGCGCAATGAACGACATGGCAGGCACCGGGGTATCGAAAACAAGGATCGCTTAGGGCAGTCTTGCCTTGAGCCTTGAGCTATGGTGGAATTCTGCAGAAACGCCTATAGCAGCCGGCACGCAGCACAACTTTTACGCAAAGGCATTCTGCTCCCCAACGTGAATCGTCCACTCACCTGCCCTTCCATGACTCGTGATATAAGGTAAGAGCATCTGCCTGTTTCGCCGTAAGCCATGCCAATTGCATCGACAAGCACTGGAGCAGGCAGATCGCTGGTTCATGGCAGGGAACGACGGCTGCGAAGCATTCCTATGTCGATGGGAGCTGACCGCTGTAAACCATGGCTTGTTTGGCTGCTATTTGTAATGGTCAAAGGGTCGCTTGATGGACATCCGCATAGGGTGGAGATGTTCCCAGACCTTCCTTTTTATCCAGAAGTGTCGCATACTGTTGAAACAACTTGATGGCAGCTCTCGTGGGGATGTCTGTACTTCAGCAAGCGGGACTGAAAGGAGACGGGGAAGCCAAAAGCCCACGGCACTTGTGATCTTCGAGGACAACTGGCACGAAAAATGTGCTTCCTCTGGCTGCTACATGTCAGGGTTTCTACAACTCTGCGCTCAAGCCGCTTACTGGACAATTACGTCTGAGTCTCTGCCGCACGGCTTTTTCTCAGCCTCTGACTGCATCTCCCGTGTCTGCGCTTGCTCACTTTGTGAGGCCAACGCCACGAGTCTCGTTCATCGCTAGAGCTACTTAGAGGAGCATGGGACGATAGCATAGTAACATCAACAAAGCATATAATAACTTCCCAGTCATATCTTGCCATACTCAAAGTATATCAACATGTAATGCTGCTTAGGGTGCCAGGCGAAAGCTGGCTCGCCTGCCGATGCCGGCAGCCCGCGAGTGAATGTCCTCCTGTCGCGTGCACAAACTCAGGAACAAGCGCATGAGATTGAATTCTAGAACTACTAGGGCAAGTTAGGGGTACTATCATTATGGCAATTATGGCCACTATTATTATTGCTGCTACGAGTGCTTTCTTCACAGGGAGGTCAAGGTCGGCAAAGGCGGACAGTTGCATCAAGTGTTGGTAGTCTCTGGAGCTAGGCTGAGTTTTAGTTCCAGGAGTGAGAAAGTCGCACGCCTCGGCCTCACGTAAGGCTTGCTGAAGCGCAACAACTGCCGAGAAAGCTGGCTCCAGATGCACACGTGATGAAGCAGAACCATGACAAATCCAATCAAATCCACGTACCTCGCCCTGTCGAAATGGCGGAAACTCACCAGATCCCGGAGAAGCCCCGAAGCAACACTTTCTGCATCAAGCCTCAACACAGGCTTCGCGCAAGATCTGACAAGCAGGCCGGAAACCTCACATCCTACCCAGAACCCTCAACCGAATTTCCTGAACTTGGAAAATACCAAGCCTCGTAGGAAGCCTGAAAAGGAACCCCTTTTTGAGCCCCATAGCAAAATTTAAATTACTAAAACCAACACTACTATCCCTAATACCATAATACTAATAACTAATAACTCAAAGACCGCAGCTTGAAGCTTCTCGCGAGCCGCCTTCGACGTGTCCTTCGCCTGTGGCGAGGTATGGCCTTCAGTGAAAGCCTTCCTGGCCAGCGACTTCGGAAAGAGCTGAGGGTTCAGAGCTCAGGATAAAGAGCTTGGGGTTTAGTGGTTTAGGGTCTAGGGTTTGGGCTATGGGCTATGGGTTTTTGTCACACCAGGGTGTGTGGGTGGCGGCACCTGTTGCGTCAAGCGACTTTCGTTGTGCAGTGTGTGACAGCACTCGGTGAAGCCGGAAGTTCTTTTTACTCACCCGCTGTGCCGATACGATATCACAGGCCACCGCCCAAATCATTTGCTGTTAGGGCGAAGGGCTTGCAAGTTGCCGTTTTAAAGATGTGTACTGCCATTGTGCTACTGCCTCCTGACCAACCCGAAGAGCATAAGTTTGGGAAGGGGACAATGCTCTTTCATGATGTAGAGCAGTGTTCCACACTGTCAGCTCGCACCGATTTTCTGCACCTGTGCCTGCATGACCACCATGTTCCGCCACGGGCCGGCAGGGCTGTAAATGCTGCTACTTACTGCAATACAGGGGCCTTAACAGCCGATTATACTATAGTAATGATAAGGAACCCCCAACGCAGTAGGCCCTCATTAATTAGAATAGGGCTTTGGGGCCCATTACACTATAGTTCTAACAAGGAACCCCCCAAAACAGTCTTAGCAGGCCCCTATATTATAGTATATGCCCTTATAGATTATATTAAGGAACCCCCAACACAGCAGGCCCCTAAAGTAGATCTCTCCCCAGGAGCTCGGCTCCTCATCCTCATGGCGTCGACTTCATCGTGGAGCCTTGGCAGCCGAAGCTTCCGGCTCTGCGCAGAACATGCAGGTCTCCGCTCTGCCAGTAAAGGGGCCTTCATACTTGGGTATAATATTCTATAATTAAATACCATAGACATGGTTACTACGACTACTATAATTACTATAACAACTACAACCACTATAACCAAATAAGTATTATAATTACTATACCTATAATATGGAGCCCCCAAAAGTCTCCGTTATGCCAGGTAGAGCAAGAGTGGCCTGTCGCGAGTCACACCTTTTTCGAAACATACGTTCTCTCAAACACTCCAACAAAACAAAAGGCGCAAAGCGAGAGAGAAAAAGAGTGTGAGAGAGAGAGAGAGAGAGCCATTGACCATTGAGCCAGAGAAAGATCCAGAGCGAGAGCGAAAGCGAGTGCGAGGGAGGGAGTGTGGGAGGAGAGGGAGAGAGGGAGAGAGGGAGAGAGGAAGAGGGCGGGACGCGCTGCTCTGCATTCCCGTGCGCAGGAAATCTTCCGTCTTGTTTCAAGACACTGACTTTCACGAATGCTACCGAGTCAGTCGAGCCCCAAAGCTACGAACAACCCCAAACGAGACCCTCAGCCGGGCGGCACAGAGCGGTTTCGTCCCTTCGCAAACTCGGACTGGTACTCCAAGAGGCACCTGGCCGGGGGCATGGCAGATCACTGCTGCCACGGTGGCGGCGGTCGTCGTCGGCGTAGAAGGAAGGTAAGGAGATACATCATATTCTCGATGTTACACATGGTCGAGCTATAAGGCTTCGAGGTTGGAGCCTTCATTGCGAGCCGATTAAATACAACGCCACGTGCTCGAGAAGTGTCGAGCGATGGGGCAGGCCGACTGTCGACAGGAGCCCACGGTCCTCTCGATCATTGGTCATCAACAGTCATTAGTCTTTACGACGCTGTGAAAACCATGTTCATAACCATCACTCTTCCTATAGAAGTAAGTCTATTCTATTGGTGTTATAACACGCAAAGGCTGCAACGAGATGCAATCGGCCAAAGCTCGCAGGAGTGGCTCCGCTTCGCGGAAGAACTCCAGGAACTCATCCCACTCGGTGCTTCCACTGTTGTCCTGCATCCGGCCCGTGGTGCCGTGCGTTAGTCACTCTGCAATGTTCACAATATCGCACACACTGCAGCAATCGAATGCGTCTTGCTTTTCCAGTCCGAGCGCTGCCAACTGGTGGGGACTCTGTGGGCACGGATTTGCGGCATTTTGCGGCTTCGTTTTGCTACGAATTCTGTTATGACACCTTCGAGACATGGAGGGCACTTGGAAAGCACTGGTCATCTACGACGTGGCCACCATAAGCCCGCCCACATCTCGAGATGATGTTGGCTGAGAAAACCTAGAGCAGGACTTGGAAGCTTTTGTACGTCTCTCTGACAGCGCCCACCACCTTGCAACAGCAAATTAGTCACGGCTATGCCTTTGTAGCATGGGTTAGGCAGTCCTTGTCAGCTTCCTTCAAGATCTTCAAGATCTTCTGAACAAGGGCCTGTTCGCGTGAAGAGACGACAGGGACAACCATCGAAGTGGTTCGGACGTTACCACGGGGATGCACCGTGGAGGCTGGCGGCTGACATTTTGTCGTGCCTTGCGTACAGCTCTTCGATGCGCTGTCTCATCCTTCATCTCGGGCAGGTGCAAGCCCGCTGTGAACCTCACCACTCACAAGTGAAGCCTAAAGTGCAGGGCCCTCCCTGCAAGGCTCCACGACCCTCAGACTCATCGAAGACACAGAGATCCCTTGCCCCTGGCCTCTGGAGGACCCCGGAGAGTTCCTTCGACTTCCAGGTAAAGCTTTATTTGGGCATCAAGAATCAGAACTCCTCAGCACTGAAAACTGCCAGCCTTGTCAGTGAAGATGGCAGCCAGGAACTTCCGATGCGGTATGGAGGAAGGCCTCACAGAACGAAAGGCACAGCTCGTGTCGCCACAACCTGGCACAGACCTAAGGGCCATGCTCGGCCAAACGTTGGAACACCGTCTGCAAAGTCTCGACGCTGTGCTTTGGTTCCTGAGCTGACCACCCAAAGCGCGGAGATCTCATGACATGCCATAGCACTGGCCAAAACTATCCTTATCCTTTCTTATCATGATGCTTCTTCCTCTCCTGCATCTTCATTCTTTTGACACCAGCAGAATATAACAGAAGCATCACTCCTGACCTTCTGCAGATCGCCGAGGTCGCCGCCCCTGGTGCCGCTTCGCTCTCTTTCCTGTGATCAGAACTGGAGACCCGGGATTGAGGTTTTGAGTTTTTCAACACCGATTGCTGTGGCTCCGAGTACCTGACGGTCCCGGTAGAGGGGCGCCAGTCAACTCAAAGCAGTACTTCTTGTGCCTAAGTCATTCCATCGTGCGTGCAAGTCGTGGGCAAAACTCAGCGTTTTCCCTTCAGCTTCGGAGAAGAAAAGCATCAAGTCAATTCATCGTAAATCGAGCCCTGCTGCTTGGGTTTCCTTTCAATCTAAACCGCGAGGACCGGAACTTGTCCATTCTCCAAGCTATTCTGCTTCACTGCCGCTGCCCTTCCTGCCCGGCCCCGCTTGGCATCTTGATGCATCTTGCAGCTACCACAGGACATGTGCCCGTGAACGCTTCGGGGGGACTAAGGACTGAGGGCACCTCCAAGCCTCGGGGCTCGAGAGATCTGAAGACCGGTTTGCTGCCCGGCGGCTGAGGACTCTTCGGCCTCACTCCCACCGGACTCGCTCCAAGGGCAAAGGGGGTTTACAGGAATCTTGGCTTGGGGCTATGGCGATGATGCAGCAGTGCTTGCAGCTTTTGGCAGTGCTGGGTCTGAACTCCGCGTGGTGTAAGTTTCAGGTGTTTCGGTCGGTCTTGGTGG